TTCATAAATTTTAAATTTAAAGTTTAATTAAATTTGCATGCGCAAAGGCTGACTGCGCCTGAGAGCCTTCAGTGCGCGAAAGGCCTTTAAACAGGCACCACACTTGCAAACCCTAAACCCTAAACCCTAAACCCTAGTGCTTCAGTGCATGCATTGTTTGTGTGCACAACTGCATGCAATGTTTAATAAATAATGAATATAAATAATAGATAAATGCAAATTTGGCTGCTAATATATTTTTTTGGAATAATTAATGACTTAAATATTATTTTGCATTAATATATTCAAATAGTCTGCAGCAAAAAATAAATATAGTATATTACATTTAAATATTAAAATAAAATATAATTGACTTTCCGTCCTTTTCGTCTTTTTTAGTTTTCTTTTTGCCTCTTTTTGCTTCTTTTTGTTTATTCTTTCTCCTCGAGTTTTGGTGCTGCTGAAGCTCTCTTTTAGGGTTTAGGGTTTAGGGTTTAGGGTTTATTTCCTTTTTATTTCCTCTCTTTTTGTCTTTTTAAATTCTCTTTTAATTTTAATTTATTCTTCGTTTTTTTTATCTTCTTTTGTCTTTTTAAATTTCTTTTTCTTTTTTTATTTTTGTCTTTTTTAATTTTCTAGATTGCCACATCAAAGTTTATTTCTCCGTAGCAGAGTTCTTCTCTTTTTGCTGCTGCTGCTTTTCTTCTTGCCAGCAGCAACTGTCTCCTTTTTGCTGCTGCTGCTGCAGCACGCAGTCTCCGCAGCGTCTGCAGCCGGCTGGCCAAGTAGCTGCTGCTGCTGCTGCTGCTGCTGCTGCTGCTGTCTGAGAGCAGCTCTTCGTCATGGCTGCAGCTGCAGCAGCCGCTGCTGCTGCTACTGCTGCTGCTGCTGCAGTGCAGCGGGCAGTCCTGGAGGACGCAGTCCTTGTGCGTGCTGCTCCTGCGTCTCCCGTGGCTGCGTTTTGCTGCTGAGGGGCATCTCAGTTTTTGTTTGCTGCTGCTGCTGCTGCTGCTGTTCTTAGCTTTTAAAGAAACTGACAGCAGCGACTGCTGCAGCGCCTGCTGCTCCAGGGCCCTGCTGCTTGCTGCTGGTGCTTCTACAGTTTCTTCTGCAGCAAAAGAAGAGTCGCAGCAAGTTGCAATGCTGCTGCCTCTCGACGGGGAGCTGCTGTGCCTTTTCCCCTGCTGCTGCTGCTGCTGCTTCGGCTTCAGCCGCGGCTGCGGTAGCTGCTTCTGCTGCAGCGACCGCCGCTTCTGCTGCTCCCGCCGCTGCAGCGCAGCAGCAGCAGCAGCACGAGCCTCAGCATTAAGCCCCACTTCCACAATCCAGTCTATAGATTGGCTGAGGTGGCTGGGCACTTCAGGGGCTTCTTCTGCGGCCATGCTGCAGCGTCTTTGCTGCTGCTGCTGCTGCTGCTGCTGCTGGGGGTCAGCAGCAGCAGCAGGCAGGTCGGGCTCTGAAGCGCTCGCCAGCTTCTCTTCAGCCTCATCTATGGGTTGCTCCCACGTTGCATCAATATGCTGCTGCTGCTGCTGCTGCTGCAGCAGCTGCTGCAGCTGCTGCTGCTGCTGCAGGTGCGCCTGCAGGAGCTGGTTTTCAGCGAGGCGCTGCTCGTGCAGCCGCAGCAGCAAAAGCTGCTGCTGCTGCTGCAGCACTTCCTCCTCAAGTGTTCCTTTTTTGTTTGTCTCTTTTCTCTTTGTGAGGCCCCGCAGCCCCCCCGCCAGCTTCTTTGCTGCTGGCAGCAGCCGATTCTTGGTTTGCTGCAGCGTGCCTGCTGCTGCTGCTGCTGCTGCTCTCCTCCCCAGCCCCAAACCCTTCCGCAGCAAACCCAGCAAAGCCCGAGCAGCAAATGTGCTGCTGCGCGGCAGCACCTGCAGCTGCTGCAGCCCGCGGTCCTGTAGGGGCCTCTGCAGCAGGGGCCCCCCGAGGCCCCCCTGCAGCAGGGGCCCCCCAAGGGCCCCCTGCAGCAGGGGCCCCTGCAGCAGGGGGCC